CCTCTGGCTATTGCAACTCAATTCACAATAGTTAAGATATGCAGTCAACCTAGATATCTACAAACTGATGACTGGATACACAAAGTGGATACTTAGAACACTATTCTGCCAAGAATCTTGTCTTTCAGGACAAAGTAGACACAACTGGAAACCGTCCTGCTTAGTGGAATAGGTCAGTCCCAACAAGAAAAATGCATTTTCTCCAATATACAGCACTTTTACATACAACAAAAATACACAAAATCAAAGAACATATTCTGACTTGATTATCATCTTTTACCCCTCATTCATATTCCAGTGGAACTGCAGTTTTCCTAATTTTCCATGTTGAATATTATAGTTACTGGTACTTAAACTGTGATTATAGAGTGGATTGAATGGGCATCTTTCCCAAAATTAAAAACAGAAAAAGAAGGAAGGATGGGGATGGAGGGAAGCAGGAAGCAAGCAGGAAAGAGGGCTCTCTTCTGAGAACATTACCTACGGAACACATGCAGCATGTAATGTTTAAACATATGTAACAATGATTTTTAAAAACATCTGAAACATTTGAAAACGACTTAGAAGTACCAAGAAATTCTAGAACAACTAAAGTCAACCATATAATCAATAAGTTTTAATTTCTCAATAAGAAATAATATTTTTTAATTACTATCTTCTCCCTGTACTCAATTCCCCTTTGTAAATAAGTTTAGTGTCTTACCCATTTTGACTAGCTCAATTTGTAAAACCTGGCTGCACTGCATTAATAACATTTAGGGAAGAACATATTTGCCAGAAACTTAGCACCTCAGAGAATAATATAAATTATTCACATGAAATATTATTAATAAAGTATAATTTAATTATATTATTATTTCTTGTCACCTTTATGGCCATAAAACAATTACATATATAAAGAAAGAACTGACTAATACATTGGCCTCTAGACAGTAGTTTGTTACTCAAAGCCATGCTCCTGAAGTGGTTATTACTTTCATATTTTAAACTCAAACTGTAACTTGAAATCATAAGCTCAAATCTTGGTTTTATGCTTCAAAATTATGAAACATTTAAGGAAATAGGACATCACGGACACAACTTGAATCACTACTTTTCTCCAAGGCACGTCTTATATTGATTTTTAAACATAAGGATAATACGCATGAAAGATTAAAACATGATGAAATTTTCTATTAATATATTTTGAAAATTTTAAGCAACTAAGTTTAAAAGAACAATTGAAGAAGGCAAAATTGCAGGCATATGAAAGTAGTGGTTACTCAAACACACATATTCACTAGGAACAAAACAGATACAAAACAAACCTATCTGGGATCAGCATGACGACCTAACTAGCTCATCTTCCACCCCTAGACGCGGGCCTCTCATACTGGCACAGGTTCATACCTTGCTGCTCCTCTTCCCACACAGCAGCCTGCTTGTGACCTGAGGAAGCAGTGAAGGATGCCCAAGTGCTTCAGGTCCCTGCACCCATGTGGGAGACGCAAAAGAAGCTCCTGGCTCCTGGCCTTGGATCGCTCAGCTCCAGCCTTCACGGCCATTTGGGGAGTGAACCCACGAGTAGCAGACTGTTCTCCCTGACTCCCCTTTTGTCTGTATATCTGCCTTCCTAATAAGGATAAGTAAACCTTTAAAAGATAATAGTAATCCTGTGTTTTCCTAAAACCTATTGTCTATAGATTTTTTTGGTCAAACTGACACAGATATAAATTACAATTAAATCACTCCAAAAGTATGGGAATAAATATTTCAAAAAAAATCCTTGTAGTTAATAACATATGCATAATGTTCTCACAGTTGGATAACAATTATATGATTAACTTAGTTCAAGCAATCATCATAATATCTTGATCTTATAATTGCTAATACACATTAAAACCCAAGGTAAAAATTAAGCATGAAAATATCTCAAGCAATTCCTTGTAATATACATTATGTGCTTTCAAACATTTTAGTATCGCAAAGGACAACTAAAACTGAATTTGTCATGGAAGCTAATTGTTTTCAGTATCTTGTAACATGAAGAGGCCATATAAACAAATTCATCCCTCTAACATACAAAATTGTCACTGATCAATATCCACTTAACACTTCCATTCATGAACACAGCCCAAAAGGAAGCTTTTATCTTCATAATAGGGTTACCATAGAAATGAATTTGATAGTGGTGTATCACGTTTAATTGCAAAATTGAAATCCAATGTAGCTTCATTTTTTCTTTGTGGGGATGGAGGTTGCTTTGCAGAGCCCTGGCATTCTCAGAGGAATTAGTCAAAAAGCATAACATTAGGGCCTAGTGGAGATTGCCTAGCAGCTAACCGGGATCCTATATAGGCGCAGGTTCTAATCCCGGTAGCCCCGCTTCCCATCCAGCTCCCTGCTTGTGGTTGAGAAAGCAATTGAGGACGGCCCAAACACCTGGGATCCAGCACCTGCATTGGAGACCCAGACGAGGCTCCTAGCTCCTGGCTTCGGATCAGCTTAGCTCCGGATACTACGGCCATTTGGGGAGTCAATCATCTAACAGAAGATTTTCCTCTCTGTCTCTCCTCCTATCTGCATATCTGACTTTCCAATAAAAATAAATCTTTTTTAAAAACATAATATTAATAATAAACCTTTGATATTAAAATTGTAACATAAAATATGTTTATGAGAAACCAAAGCTTCAACTATTTGAAAGCAATATGCCTAGCTGAAGTAATACCATATATATTTTTAAAGATGTATTTATTTTTATTGCAAAATCAGTTATATAGAGAGGAGGAGAGAGAGAGAGAGAGAGGAAGATCTTCCATCCAATGATTCACTCCCCAAATGGTCACAACAGTCAGAGCTGAGCCAATCTGAAGCCAGGAGCCCGGAGCCTCCTCTGAGTCTCCCACGCGGGGGCAGGGTTCCAATGCTTTGGGCTGTCCTTGACTCTTTTCCCAGGCCACAGCGGGCAGCTGGATGGAAAGCGGGACCACTGTGACTAGCACCGGCGTCCATATGGGATCCCAGTGCGTGCAAGGTGCAGACTTTACCCACTAGGCTACCACACCAGGCCCAATACCATATATTTTTAAATGTCCAAAGATTATTTTTATTTTGCTCAATCTTCATACACAGAAAATTTCCTAATACAACTGTAACAAAATTAAACATTGTAAGAAAAATTCATTTAAGTTATTTTCATGAACTATACAGGTAATTTTTCATTCCACATAGGCAGCATGAAGTTTTGATGTTTTTCAAAGTGGAAATCACACCCCACATAGATAAGTACTGGGATCCTTTGCTAGTGGGAATGTCATATTTAATCTAATGATTAAAACTGAATAAAAACAGGAACACATAAAAATACATTTTTGCCTCTACTCACATAAAGACAGTAAGTACAATATCATACAAACTATAATTACCTGGGGTAAAACTTTCTGTGGCTCATAATGCTAAACTGAGAAATAATTTTCCAATAATAATAATAAAATCAGTGTGTAGCTTTGAGAAGTGTGGATGATCTAGTTTTACAGGGTTTTCCACACAGGAAATGCCTGCACTGTGTTGACTGCAGGGTTCTCTAGCTTCCACACTGGGATGGGATGAACAAACTTCGCTTCTCAAGAGACAAAGAAATTCAACCCACCCCATTCAGATGCCAGTCTGTGGCAGATTTATATGTTGATCTCACTGCACTATATTTAGTAGAGTTGCATTTGTAAACATTGGAGATTAGATGTCTAAATAGTGCCCAGGACCACGTACTGGGAGTGTTCACTCCTTGATGGACCCCAGCTTCTTGTAATGATTTGCCAGTCACTTCCATATGGAAGACCCATTCACTGCCTGCCGAGAGACAGTTCCTTCCATATGAATGTTTAATTCTGATTAAACAGATCACCAAAGACAACCAGAAGTGTGTTTACCTCCACATAAATTCATGTTTCATCAAATATTTACATACTTATATTTAGAGTACTTTCTCCATGACACTTTTTTCCCCTTAGGACTATCTCTTGCAAAATTACATAGATATTTCACTGTTCATATTCAGACAGAGAGGTGGAGAGGACTAGGCTGCACGACTCATCGGAGGTGCTCAAGTTTAAAAATACAGTGCGGCACTTAGCTTTGGTAAGTGCTAAAAGACAGAATAATTGAGACAAGCATGCCATTCATTAGTCCTGAACCTAAGATAGTCTGCCTTATTTTAAATATTTCAACATATTTTAATATGAATATTTATACAGATAGAAATGTATTAGGTAATGAATTAAAAATTAAAAATCTAGCATACTAATACTACTTGAATATGAATAAAGTTTTTTTTCTATGAATGAACTATAACATAATATATGTGGAAACTTTGCTACAATGATTACTGTGTTTCATTGCTGTTGTTAGTTACTAATGTATTTGTGATATATACAAAATGAAGCAAATATGTTTATTTGATGTTGTCATCAATTGATATTTTGTAAGAATATTAGTTTTTATCAATGTCCGGATAAGATAGTTACATAATTAATTGTTATAGAAATCTATTCAATTGATGTGCTATTTAAATATATTTCACTTTTCAAGGGAATAAATAACTGATAGTCAACAAATGGAAACAATTCATTACCAAAAAATAAGTGTTACAACAAATTTAGAGTTGATAAAATTTTTTCAAAAATAAAAATTCCTTGCTTGAATTTTTTTGTAAACTGCAACAGGCATTTATGCAAATGCTTCATACAAAACTAAATACTTAGATATTATTAGAAATAAGTTTTGCAAGATATTAAATATTTGCATTCACTACAAATTCTAATTTTTTTACAAATTTTGTAACTGATCAGTATTCCTGATACTAATCAAAATAAAATGATAAAGTTTGCTCTAAAATTTTACAAAAGTCTGATGGCTTTGTTCAATATTAATAGGAAAAGTTGATTTTTAAATATGCATTTAAAAAAACTTGATAAAAAAAATCATACTTGCTTCAAATAAATATTAAATAACATCAATACCTCTCTCCGTCGAGAAGCCCAACATGTTTGTTTAATCTTCCATACCACAGCAGCCACCAGTAATAAAGATAAAAAACAACTGGAAAATAAAACAAAAACAAATTAAATAACAAACATATTTGAAATATAGAATCAAACTTTAAAAACACATCAAAGTAAAAATTATGTAGATTTCATCACTCAGTAAAGAATTGAAACATGATACATATAGATTTATAATACTTTCTACGTGAAATAAAAGTTCACAGTTTGAAAAAAATTCATATTCCTTGATACAGAATATGGTGTACGTTTGCACTTTAATGTCAAAAAACATAAATTTACAACTTCATTGCTCTTACAAAGCAACCAAAATCTCTTTAAAACTGCTATTATGATTCATAAAACATGGTAATTTTATAAATTCAAATGTTACACATGTTCATTCCTTTTATTATTATGACAGCATCTACTAGTCGTGGGAATTTTCCAGTGCTTCTCAACCTAAAGTGATTTTTGCCCTCTCCTGGGTTTCATTTATCAACATCTACAATCATTTTTAAATGGTATGATTAGAGGAGGGGTGTGACTCACGCCTGTAGGGCACAGTCAACAACACTGCTGAGCATCCTATAAATAAAGAATCATCACACCAAAACTTCACTATGGCTGATGTTGAGAAACAAAGTGTATACTAATGCTTTAATTAAGATACAGATTAGTTAAAATGCAGCTTAATATATTAAATTGAAGATCATATGCTAGGGTAATACATGGTATTTTGTTAGCAGAAATTGAGACTGACTTAAGTCACAGTAACAGAAACATGAGTATATCTGATGGATTAATCCCAGTCCTATATTATAGTTCATTTCCAATTTTATTGTGCTGTAAGCATGGATTCTGCCATGAACAGACTTCAATACTATACAAATTTACTGGTCACTAGCCATTATTAAGTAATAAAAAAAAAAGACCTAGTCCTCAATGTTACTAATCACTGTAGTTGTCACTTGAATCACAAAAAGGCAATTTTTGACAAGCTTCATTTGTTTAAAATAAGTCCTCAATGTGTTTTTTCTTATTGCCACTGCCTCCTGTTAAGCAGAAGACCTTAGAATCAATATCAACGATGGCCATTCTAAACACTGACTCATCCAATTCAACGCAATTCAGATGCTGTCCTATAGCCTTCCCATTAATGACTGAATTTGCTTTATAGAAATACTTCAGATAAGATATATCCTTAGGTCAGAACAGAAGAATCCAATGCACAGTTTAAAGTCAATTGCTTATAGTCGAACCAAAATTTAAATACACTTAATTTATTCTCAGGCTGTGTATTCCGCATCTGTTAGGAGCTCTGAGTTTGTGCATCATTTCATACATGTTGTGTTACTGCATTCATGCCCCAATAGTTTCTACAGATTTTTTTCAAGTCAATGATTTTAATCTGCGCAACCACTGACGTGTTTTATCAATCACATGATTAATTTTCCTGTTAATATTATCAAGTTCCTTATTTCTGATTTTCAAATTTTTAAGTAGGTAAGCCCCATATTCCCTTAAAGTAGAAAAACAGTGTACACTTATAAACTGTACAGCTTCTCTAGTTGTTTAGACAAGTGATCAATATACTCCATATCAATTTTCTCATAACTTAATTCCCTGTTCTCTGGCTTGTATACTAACAAAATATTAATATTCACATTAACATATCACATTTTTGAAGAATACCATCCTGAGACTATTTTAGCTGAAGATAACTATAACTTTCTAAAAATTAAATAGGCTAGTCTTTATCAGCCAACTTCCACTTATCAATTCACAAGACCAATGATTCATTACTTGAAACGCTCTCACTCTGAGGTTTTACTGTGAAGCTCACACTGAGTTTTCTTTTTACCCTGTTGGTTTTCCTTCATCCTCATGACCCAATAGTACACAGTCAAGGAAGTCAGGTCCTATTCCATCTGCCTAACTTTAACATTGGGGATTCTTGAAAATTCAGGTCACAGAACTGCACTCTTTCTTTCCTGTTCACAGACAAAGCTATTCTCATGATTTCAACCATGACTGCAATTACAATAATTTCCAAATCTGTATCTTTAGACCTGCAAATATTAGAACATCTTGTCACTAAAAAAATATACTCAGAGAAAAAAATATATGCTCTATAACTTGGACAGTGATTTATTACCTAATTAAATATACATAGTGGCTGACTCCTAAGTCAATGTATTCTGTTTTTAGGTCACATTTTGGAAACATTCTTTCATCGGTTGGTGCTACTGCTCTCCTGGGTCAGTCTGAAACAGTGCGCCACATGCAGACCCTGTTTACATATTGGAGGAGACCTTGATGGTTCCATCTAGTTCAGCAGCTCTTCTCAAAAGTGTTCTCCCAACTAGCGAAGTTAGGCAATGACTCGGGACACTTTGGTAGTCACCATTTGGCATACATCTACCGGGATGTTGCTAAATATCCTCAAATTTACAGGCAACCCAGAACAACAAAGTTTTTCCCAGTATCAAACATCCACAGTGTTGAACCTGTTACAACTACGCTGCATTCTGATCACTGTCATTGCAGTCTCTTCTCACATCCAGATTAACGAGTTGGCTCAAAATCTGTGTATTCACTTATTGAATTTTCTCTTAAACTTATGAAATATAAAAGATACAAGCAGTACAGCAAATCATTGATGAATTTTACTAATAACTGAATAACAAATTCATTCATCTAAAGATTGTCCAAAAATTGAAAAAAAACAAGCATTATTTTTACCAGTATATCACATACTAGGGTCTTTAGAATGTATTTTAAAGCTATGCTATATATACATATTTTTAAAAACACATGTCTGTAATCAACAAACTAGGAAACATTTTCAAATGAAGACTACTAGAAATAAATCACAGAGGAACTACAAAAAAGTAGAAATAGAAACCGACTAGAATGAATTACAATACAATAAACCAACTGCAGGGAATCCTAAAGCCTAGGATTTGAAATAGCTGCTAACACTGTCAAGGCTCTGGTAGAATTTATCAAGAAAAAAGAAATATAAGGATTTAGTAAAGTTCACAGTAAAGAGAAAGGCAGAGGAAAAATTGTACAGTATTAGTATTTGGAAAAACTCTAATTAATTTGAAAAACAGAGTAAGCTTCTAAATAAAACTGAGATGGGTGATGTCTGTAGGAAAGACACTGGATACCCATACCCCTTATCACTGAGTCGGGGTTCATTATCTGGCTGTGTTCCCGGTTTCAGCTTCCTGCTTCTGCTCATTTGTGGGAAGCACAAGCAAGTGGGTCCCCATCACCCATCTGGGAAAGCTAGGTTCGGTCGGCTCAGGCCTGGCTTTTGCAGGCAGATGTGGAATAAATCAGTGAATGAGAATTTTTTTTCTTTGTCTCCATCTCTATCTCTTTGTCTCTCTGCCTCTTGAGTAAACATTTAATTAGCAACTATATAAAATACAGAAAATGAGGCTTACAAATATTAATAAGATTTTACATCTTCCCCTGACACACATGCCCTAAAACATACAAAAAACAGCTTTTAAAAAAGTTACAATATTCATATACTTTTAAAGGTTAGTCTACAAGCCCCCACACAACAGATAAATCTATTGTACCACTCATTAAAATGAATCTCTCCAATCTTTGCCTACAGAAAGTATAACTGATCAGTGGACTCTGAAACCCATCATGCTGTGTGCACATTTCTCCCAGGGCGTTCCTCTGCGGTAACAGATCAAGACAGAGAAGCTAAAGCGAAGAGCTCCCTGGGAGATGCAAGGATTCTGGAATACACACCATTGACTCCAGTAAAGCTCCTCGGAACCACTCTACACTCACAGTCTTTCACTCAACCTTCCTTTACTTAAAACTATTCCTGTTTACAAAGGCAGAGCAGCACTCTGGTCTGAAATGTCTGCCACCATCTCCCCTCTCTCTCCCACCACTCTGTCTTAGGAGTTTTCTCCTGATACTGTTGCTGCTTGTTTAATCCCATCTTGGTGTCTGCTTCTCTGAGACTTTAGACCCTCAGAGTACGTAAATAGGAAATAAAGTAAGAGTTTGGGAACTGGGACATTCTTCGGCAGGCAAAGCGGCCAGTAGCGACATTGACAGGTGGAGTACAGACAGTTCCTAGCGTTAGTTTACATTGCTAATGGTTTCATCAGTGGTGCCAGAAAAAAAAAATACAAGAAAATATCTTGTTGGCACAGTAATTTAAGTATTTGAAAGATGGGAGGGAAATATCTCCAAGACACTGTAGTTGACTGATGACTTAGTGTTACGTTGTATTGATACTTGCAAAGGAATAGTGAGAGACTGACGACCATGAAGAAGACACCATTGGCTAAGTGCAAGAATCTCAATGTCTATTTCCTAACATTTTATATTCTAGCTCTGACAGAATGAAGAGCCAACAAGGAGGAGCACCAGGCTAAAGACCTGTTGCAGAGCTCCAGGGCAGAAGCATTGCTCAGCTGTGCTGTATGCAAATGCACAGACCATGGCTGGGATCACTTAGAGCCCTGAAGTATGGCAAAGGACTATCTACATGCGTGCTCCTGATGATGTTGGTTCCACACTCACTCTAATAATAATTACACTTGTGCCACACAAGAGGACAATGTAGAATTTCTCTCTCTCTGAAACAACAGCTGTAAACGTCATAACCTACCATGACTTCATATCTCCAGATTAACTGGATAAGCAATAAGATAACCATTTATGGGCATGAAAGGGAAGAAATGAATTGCAAACATGAAGCAGCTGCAAGTATTAACTAGTATTTACTGACTAGAAGGACACATGAGAGCATAACTATAATTGGATTTTGCTGTTATCTGGTCATTGTTCTGATACATAACTTCAGTATAATAAAAGATATAATACCATACCGAGGACTGTAGGAGAGTGGGCAAATTTTTTGGAGTAACTCTCAGAAGGCAGCAAAAAGCAACTGCCAAAACAAAAATGGACTATTAATGCTTGAGATGCTCTCAGAAAGGAAAGAAACCAAAGCCTAAAGGTGGAATATGCTGCATATAGTGTACAAGGCAGAAAGAACCACCAAATGGCTATATTCCATGAGTATCTAGAGTAGACACCCTTTTACAACGCATTAGGAAGGCATCATGAAGGCAACTGAAGCATCATGAAGGCAACTACTATGTGTTGCCTTCCTTCTAGGACCAGAGTTGAAAAAGAGAGCCAGCTTTGTTCACCACCATGAAATGATGGGCGCCTAAAGTAACAGAGGCCAGGTGACAATGAGTCCCTGTGACAATCTAAGAGCCAAAATTAACATAATTTGGCAAACAAAAAAAAGCTTGGAGAAGTTAGCAGGGCAATTGGCCAACAAAAGGCTATAAAGATGATTAATTACATACTGAAGGGCAAACAGGTGGTACAACTTACTAATGGGTATTTATGTTTTTATTTTGCTTCTAAGAATGAACAGAGGAAGAATGGTGAAGTGCAGCTGACCTATGGAAATTCCTGTGCTGCTCAGTCCTCAGACTTGATCTAATTTTCAAATCCAGCTCCTATTACTTAAACAAACGGCTATGTCCACAGAACACAGGACTCCGAAACATTCTGAAAACTATCCCCCCAAAAAGAGGGGTGCAGATGAGGAGGCTGGCATTATGGCACAGCAAATTAAGCCTCCTATTGTGGCCCTATCATCCCAAATGGGCAAAAGTTCAAGAAACAGCTCCAGCTCCAGCTCCAGCTGCACCAGTTCTGATTCAACTCCCTGCCAGTGCACCTGGGTAAGCTGCAGAAAGTTGTGCCAAGCAGTTGGGCCCCTTTCCCCAGGTGGCAGACCTGGGAGAAGCTCTGGGCTCTCAGCTTTAGACTGTACAGCCCCAGCCATTGAGGTCATTTGGAGACAGAATCTGTGGACAGAAGATCTCAATACCGACCCCTCTCTCTGTCCCATTCCTTTCATTTCTCTCTCCCATCTTCCACTCTTCCTTTTTAAATAACTCTTTCAACTAAGTAGTATTTTTTTAAAAACAGCATGAAATAATCCCTAAATTAATTCACACATATCCTTGAAGGTATGCATATTTACATTCTGAATATTTACTTTAAAAGGTTACTAAAAAGATGCTTTGAGTACTACTTGAAGCAAGGTTAGACAGCACAAAATGTTAGAGGTGATACAGATTCCTCAAAATCCAAATACCACAGTGCCTTGATGTTAGTAATGGGATACTGCAGGCAGAAGTCATACAAAACAAGTTCTGGCTAATTTCTGGATCACAGTGGGTAAACTGTGTCTAGATGGGTACCCACCAGCGACTTCATCTGGCTTTGAGTATTTGACTTTAACTTATACACAACAAAGCTGAGTAACCCCTACATTGTATCCCTAACCTATATGGCTAATATCTGTCATATGAAATATGATCAAGTGATAATTTCTGAAACGGACCCAAGTAATCAAAATAGCATATATATTCAGTGGTGTAGTGAAAATTAGTGCCATCATAAAAAAAATCTAAAATGTGCAGGGGCTGGCCTTTACTATAATCCCATTTAAATTATTCATTTAAAAGTAATTTAAAAGTTTCAGATACAGGCTTATTAACTTACCCATTTTACACAACAAAAAGATTATTTGTTGAAAGAAATACTCTTTTCAATTCTCTAATCTTTCACCAGTATATTATAATACTATGCTATAATACAGACCAACAAAAACACCATAACTTGCTAATTTTACACATGATATAACTGAAATTTAGAGATGTTAGGTTACCTACTTAGATGGCATAAATAATACCATCACAAATGCACCATGTTTATCACAGATCTCCTGAAGGATAACTCAATTTTATATATCACCAGCATTATGCACAATATAGATAAAAACATGCCAGGGTTGGAAAATGGTTCCAGCTCACACATCCACTTCTGCTGCTTAAGTACCTGGTTAGAAGTGGAGAAACAGCAAACATGACCAAATGACATGTCCCTAAATGCTAACCATTTAAAACATAATGCTTAAAACTTCTTTTAAAAGTACCAGTCACTTTGGGCCTGGCGTGGTGGCGCAGTGGTTAAGGTCCTCCTCGCCTTGCATGCCCAGGATCCCATATGGGCACCGGTTCTAATCCCAGCAGCCCTGCTTCCCTTCCAGCTCCCTGCCTGTGGCCTGGGAAACCAGTCGAGGACGGCCCAAAGCTTTGGGACCCTGCACCCACGTGGGAGACCCAGAAGAGGCTCCTGGCTTCGGATTGGCATAGCATTGGCCTTTGCGCTCACTTGGGGAGTGAATCATCGGAAGGAAGATCTTCCTCTCTGTCTCTCCTCTCTGTATATCCGCCTTTCCAATAAAAAAATAATAAAAAATAAATCTTTAAAAAAAAAGTACCAGTCACTTTTTAAAATAATTAATAAACTTTAAATTATTCTGGCTGTTTTTTCTCAACAATGAGATGACTGCAAAATGACTGAATTTACATTTGAGTGTTGGTAGGAATTTAAATGACAAAAAACCCATCAAATACATTTTATGTCACTCAATAATTAGAATATTTTATTTTATTTTGTCCATGAGGAAAACCTAATAAATAAACAATCTTTTAGACATGGTACATATTAATATTAGTTTTATTTTATTTAATACAGGAGCTATTGAATTAAAAGATGCACAAATTCAAAAGCTTAAAATAAACCCTAAACATTTAAATAATTTACACATGTATGCAGCTTCATGAATTTTTAAACATAATAAAAATCATACTATATTTTCCTGTACACTGTTATGAATCAAAAATATCTCAATTCAGAAAGTATTGCTCATTCAATTATAACTTCTAGTCCTTTTAAAGAACATATTAACCTTGCTAATGACTTTAAAATTGATTCATATTCTGAAATACAGTCATAAAGGATTAAATTTATTTAAGATATTTCCTCAAGTTTCAGTTTGTAAAGATACATTTAAAGCATGCACACTCTTTCTATGCATATTAGTGAAAAAATCAGTTTATAGCATTAATTTCTGGGAAGTGTAAAGGATATAAATAATCATGACTGTTTTCAATATAAAGGGAGCAACACTGCAAGAATGTGACAAGAGAATTGAATAAATGAACAGGGAGTACGCTAATTGGAAAAAGAATTTTAAATTTAAAGAGCTAAAAATGCGGATGAGAGATTAAGTTTAATATTTATATATAAAGCCATATGGATGAATTACAAGAGATATTATGGAGAGATAGATTTCAGCTCAATTATAAAGAACAATTAGTTATCTGATGATACAAAATGCTATCTCAGGAGATGGTGTCATTAAAGGCATTCCAGCATAAACCTGATCAGAGCTGGGCAAATTACGTCCACAGGCTGAATTCGGCCCACCAGATGTTTTTATAATAAAGTTTTATTGGAATACAGCCACTGTCATTTGTTTCCATATTGGCTCCGGACTGCTTAAGCAACTAACAACAACAGAGCTGTATAGATGCAATAGGGGCCCCAAGGCACACAAATCTAGAAATAATCACCACGTATCCCTAAAACCATAATAGAGTCTTTTCAAAGTTGCGTGCCAATGATGAGGGCTATGTCTGCCAGAAGAAAGAATCACATTTGTGTCATCTGCACAAAGGCAGCAAGGAACATGCACAAATCTATGCTGATGTTAAAGACGAACGATCCAGAGGCTCTAAGATTCTGCTACAGATAATCAGAGAAATTCAAATCCTTCTCCTGACCTAGAATTTATTTACACTCCATGGAAATGACAACAACTTGTTCCCTGAAGGACAGCTTTTTTGTTTTGACAAATCTTTTAAACTCTACAGTCTTTTGTAGAAATACACATTGGAAATTAGCATAATTAGCATAACCCTGAAGAGTTATGTAAGCTACAATCAAAGAGCCCTATTTAACTTTGCTATACACAATATTTTCCAAAGTTGGTTAATTATGGAAGCCTCTTTTTATGAACCTAAAATTAATTACTCAGATGAGTAGTGTTCTAGGAATTGATGGCCTCTATTCAGACTGTTAACAGTACTTCAAGATTACAAGCTTCGGAAGAGGAAATACACACTGTTTCTCATTCATTACAGACTTTGGCACGTTGCTAAGCACATTGCATAATTAGGTAAGAAATAATTGAGTTGATTTAGTTCTACTAGATAGAACTAATCCATGTGGTACACGCACTGTTAACTAACAAAAACAGGCTTGAATGATTTAGGTGTGAGAAGGAGAATTACCCAGTCTACATAATCCTAGCTATTAGATCATGTAATAATACATTAATTTCATCTAGGGCCTGCGTTGTAGCAGAGCAACTAAAGCTGCTGCTTGGGATGCCAGCATCCCATATCAGCACTGTTTCACATCCTGTGTGCTCCACTTCTGGTGCAGCTCCTTGCTAATGGCCTGGGAAAAGCAACGGAAGATGCTCCAAGTACTTAGGCCCTTACCATCTACATGCAAGATCTGGATGAAGTTCCTAGCTCCTGCTTCAACCTGCCCAGCTCCTGACCACTGAAGCCATCTGTGGAGAGAATCAGCAGATGGAGGATCTACGCTTCTCTTCTCTCTCTTTTCCTGACTCTCTGAACTTGTGTCTTTCAGATAACAAATCTGTAAAAACTACCAAAAAAAGTTACAAAAAAATCACAAGTATGTATCAAGCATATTCCCTGTGATCTGTAATAGATATTGAAGCATAATAAAACTATTGAAGACATGCTATATAGTTAAAGGTTAAAAAATTAATACATTTATTTGCTTCATAAAAAAGCATATCAGAAAATAAGCTTAACATGTTCAAAATCAGAAAAAGGAAATTACCTGAAAAAAGTGACAAAAAATTGCACCAAATCCATGATTGTGTTATGTTGTGAGAATGCAATCTGAAAAATCAAAATAAAAGACAGAATGAAACTGAGTAAGCTCTTCTGCAAAACCAGTGAAGACAGATCACAGCATTTGTAAGTTTACAATTTCTAAATCATCAAGACACTTAGAAACACCAAATTTTAAAACAAATCTGTGTTAGCCTAAAACCTTCATCCAGAATATCAAACACATTTAACTAATCATGGTCCACAAAATGGTTAAAAACCTTATAAAATTACTCCAAGCATGTATGCAAAAAGTATAAAAAACACTATGACAGATTAAATATTCCTGCCTTCAAATATGCAAGTTAGTTCCTGCATTATTTATGATCTTATTTTGAATTAGTGCAATTAATAACAGCTCATCAAATGAAAAATAAATTTCAATTTTATTACAAAAACTGAGTTTTTTTTTTATATATCCATAACCAGGCAATATGCACGCATACACAGAAATAGTGTTGGAAACCACTTAGAGAATAATATATGTCACATCTATTAAATTTCACATTGATAAAAGAAATTTTATCAATAATCTAAAGTTGCTCTCCATTCACATTAACTTTTATACATGTTATACAATAACATTTTCTTCAGGAAGTAATGTAAGAAATCATATTAGTCAATGCAAAGTTGCACCCGAATAGAGAATAAAGAATTAAGATTACAACTTAGCATTCACCAGCAGTAAGTCTTTTAGGAAAGTACATAGTCTGTCTGAATTGCAGTTCTCCCATGTGTAAATGGAAATACTAAATTTGTGTACTATATAATATTAGAATAATTGAATTCGTAGAAATTCAACGTTTACAGAATATCTTAGAGCTACCATATAACAGATATTAAATCTCCTATCATTTACATAAGATGGTAACCATATGTAAATTTCACCAATACAGCTGAAATGAAATCATTAGATTATGAAACCATTTGTGTAATGTTATGATATCATTCAAAATGCATCAGAGAATTTCTACTTCTATTCCGTATTAATGAAGTAGAAAGGGAACACAACACTTAAACCAACCAGTGTTGACACTGTACAGATAGAGAAAGTCTATTATTTTTGAATACAAAAAAACGAAAGGTGAAATGTTTACAATTGTCTTAGATATCAGAGCAAAGTTGTACACAACAAGAACCTAACTGGAATTACAAAATAAAAATCAGTATTGCTACACAAGATTGGATATAGCCTAAACTATCTTAAAAGTTAAAAAAAAAAGTATTTCTCAAAGATTTGCCTATTTTTATTTGAGAAGCAAATTTAGAGACAGAAGGAGACACACAGAGACAAAGATCCCATCTCCTGGTTCAACTCCTCAATGACCACAATGGCCAGGACCAAGGCTGAACTGATCCCAACCCAGGCACCAGGAGCTTATTTAGCTACTCAACATGACAACAGGGTTCGAAACTTTAGTCATCTTCTACTGCTGTCTCAGGCCATAGGCTGGATCTGAAATGGAGGAGCTGGAAATTTGAATCAGCATCCATATGTGATGTAACTGCTGCAGACAGGGGACTGGCCTGCAAAGTCACCACGCCAGTCCCCAAAAGTATCCTTTAAGTAGAAAAGATTGGCCAGCATAACGGCTCAGTGGCTAAGTCCTCGTCTTCCAAGCGTTGGGATCCCAGATAGATGCCAATTCATGTGCCAGCTGCTCCACTTCTGATCTAGCTCCCTGCTTGTGGTCTGGAAGGGCAGTGGAAGACGGTCCAGTCTTGGACCCTGCACCTACATAGAAGACCTGGAAGAAGCTTCTGGCTCCTGGTTTTGGATCAGCTCAGCTGGGCCATTCTGGCCACATAGGGAGTGAACAATGGATGGAGAATCTTTCTCTCCTTATTTCCTTCTCTCTGTAAATCCGTCTTTCCAGTAAAAATGGATAAATCTTAGAAAAAAGAGGAAAAGATATAGATGAATTTTGGTCTCAGGCTTGTTCATAACAATTCAAAGAAAGTTATGAATAGTAACTTAGATCTATAAGATAATTCGGTACAAAGCAGTTAAGAACTAACAGGATTATCCTAACATGAAAATTATGTGGCAGCCAGTATTCTAGTTCAGTAGGTGAAGCTGCTGACTGCTACACTAGCACCCCCTCTGAGTATCAATTTCAGCCCCAGAAGTACCACTTCAGATCCAACCCCACGTTAACATGCAACAGCAATGGATGGTCCATATGCATGGTCTACTGCATATGCGTGAATCCCAAACAGAATTTCTACCATCTGGCTCTATTGTGGCCATTTGGGGAGTGCATCAATAGATGGAAAATGTGACTGTATCTCTCTATGTTGTAATTCTGTCTTTCAAAGATATAATATTTTTACATTAATTATTTGAAAAAAATAATAAAATGTGGCTGATTAAAGTAAATTGGGATATGAAGTCCACCTTAGTGTTGAGAAATACGAGAATGAAAAACTAAGAAAACAGGTTCAAAGACTTAAACATCGACTGTCAAAAACATGGAAAAGAAAATGAGGTAAATTACAAGTCAGGCAAATTAAATCCAAAAGAGTAAGATTCAGTATATAAGCAATTTCAGCAAATGTGAACAGTCTGAATATCCACTAAATGGCAGAGATTCTCATACTAAAGTCATAATTCAGCTTTATGCTTATAATGGAATATATACATCTAGGATGGGAACACATTTTTACCAAAAAGATCAACTATTGCAAAATGATGTAAGGGACTTTAAAAAGAACTACTGCAAAAATATAAAGGATAATATTAATAACAAACTGCCATTTACACTCAAAATCTGTTCAAACAAAACAGGCACAAAAACACAAAATCATAACAAACATTGGTGCACTGAAGACCAAGGCCAAAAAAATGAAAATGTAATACCTGAACACATAAAAGAAATTTGAAGATGAAATTATGGAAAATAATCCCGAATATGCATATCTCTTTCACAACTGACCTCATCAGACAACAACTCAATGTATTTGGTACTTTAAGTCCTGAAGAAATATTCAAATAATTTATTAATAATCAAGCAAGCAGCTGCCTGGGATGCCAGCACACCAGGTTGGCCCTGGCCTGAGTCCTGCTACTCCACTTCAAATCCAGCTCCTTGTTAATGCACCTGGGAGAGCATCAGAGGATGGCCCCTGCTGGGAGAGCCAATAGAAGCTCCTGGCTCTTAAATTTGGCATGGACAAACCCTTCTTGCTTTTCTGCCATCTGGGCAGTAAACCATCAAATGGAAGAATTCTCCCCCTCTCTCTTTATGTAACTTTGACATTCACATAAATAAATATTTTTTAAAAACCAGAAAGGTAAGAAACACATTTTAGATTATAGAGCTAGAGTTGGCCTCATTAAAAAGGTAATTAAGGAACTGACACTTAATAATCAGATCAAAATTTGCAAACATCTGATGTTGGAAATGTCCTAAGTATAAAGATGACACTTGGGAGAGATGTTTTTGAAAGACTAACAGGAAGCTACAAGAACTGTGACAATGAGACAGAATACTTAAAAGTAAATTCAGACTGATAAGGGATCAAGTCATCTGGGTCCTTGCCAATGACAAGTTTTGGAATATTTGATAAAGGTAAATGAGCTATGGAGTGACATAATGAGCAATGAAATCATCATTTTAGCTGTAAGGTAAAGACAGATAGACTGCAGGGTAAAGTAAGAAAATAAGTGAGGAGGTGGCACTAGGAAGAAACGTAGTAGCCATGCAAACATTCTAAGGAAATGGAGACATAATTTAGAATGAGGGTGGGTACATATGTCAAAATATCAGATGTGAGAGGTGAATGAAACAAGAATCAAACATGACTATCTGAATTTGTTGCGAGAAATATGACAGGTGATATCCCTATGAGCATGTGTTAAAATGTTAGAGGAATGATTATCCCAAAGATAAACATTCGGGTGCAAAATATGTGAAACACATGTGTAGCATTTTCACAAGGTTTTTAACTGTATAGAACTGATTTTGTAATGTGAATTGAGTCAGAGAAAAATGCTTTACTCTAAACTTGTAGGTATTACCTAAAATATCACATTTAAACATGTGAAAAGAAGATCTATAAATGAATGCTTATTAAGAAATTACAGTTATGGGCCCGGCGCAATGGCGCAGTGGTTAAGGTCCTCCTCGCCTTGCACGCCCAGGATCCCATATGGGCACCGGTTCTGATCCCGGCAGCGCCACTTCCCATCCAGCTCCCTGCCTGTGGCCTGGGAGGGCAGTCGAGGACGGCCCAAAGCTTTGGGAACCTGCACCCGCGTGGGAGACCCAGAAGAGGCTCCTGGCTTCGGACTGGCATAGCATCGGCCCGTTGCGCTCACTTGGGGAGTGAATCATCGGACGGAAGATCTTCCTCTCTGTCTCTCCTCTCTGTATATCCGCCTTTCCAACAAAAAAATAATAAAAATAAAAATCTTAAAAAAAAAGAAATTACAGTTTGAAAATACTAACACAAGTCAATAAATCAGTTTTCCCGAAACATCTTTTCAGCTGAGCTAATGTTTCATATCCAACTTACTTTCGTTAATTTATTGATTTGAAAGGCAGAAAAATAAAGAAACAGAAATACTACAGCCCAAGGTTCACTTCCACAGAAGGCCACAACAGCCAGCTCTAGGTGAGACCAAAGCTAGGAGATGGGAACTGCTTAACCACTGTATCACATGTCAGCTCCTAAACAGAATTAATCTCTCTCATATATACGTATATATGAGATACATATGATATATATTTCGTTCAGAGTTACAAAGAGAGGGAAAGAAAGAGAGAGATCTTCTGTCTTGTGGTTCATTTCCCAGATTGCTGCAATGGCCAGGCTAGATCAGACAAACCCTGGAGCCAAAGGCTCCACACGGGTCTTTCCTCAGGGATAGCAGGACTCCAAACACAGGGACCATTCTCATGTGCTTTTCTGAGGCCATCAGCAGGGATGGGAACTGACAATGGAGCATCCAGGACTCAAACCAGCACTCAATTGGCAACTTTACGCAATGTGCCACAAGGCCAGGA